TAAAAAATGTCGCAACGATACTGACAAACTTAAATTCAATCGTATCACCAAATTTTCCAATCTTTCCATTGAGGAGTGGTAGGCATTAACAAGCCTAAAAAAAAAAAAAACTAAAAGACATTGTTATCAAAGCGGCCGCCAAGGGCGGCGCGGTAGTTTTTAGCTGACCGACCTCTACCAAAAAGAAGCTTTGCGACAACTTTCTGACACCTCTTTTTATTAAGAGGTCGACAAAGTTCTCACTTCCATTAAACAAAACACTGTCAAAAATACGATTAACGAATTCATAGCTAAACAAGAATTGCCCGCCACTGAAAAAATCTCATCATTACCGGTCCCCCGGTCGGTTCGTTGTCTCGGCTTACAGCTATCCTACCGAGCTTATTTCCAGCTCTTTAGACAAAATTATGGCTCCCATCGTCAAACCTTTACCATCATATATCAAAGACAGCCAACACGCTCTTCAAATATTTTGCCACTTTAATTTCCTTGGCTAAGCAAAACTTCTTTTCACTATGGACATTATATCTCTAACTTTATACTGTCATACCTAATGGCACTCAAACATTTTTTTAATCAACGCACTGTTAGGGAACCTAGATCTGAAACGCTACTTCGACTAGCCGAACTAGTGATGACTCTCAATCATTTTTCATTCGGGGACACCTTTTCAAACAAACTAATGGCATAGCAATGGTACCAAAATGGGTCCCAGCTATGCCAATCTTTTTGTAGGTTTTGTCGACCACCAATTTTTCAGCCAATACAACGCCTCCAAACCTGAACTCTACGGTCGCAACAATTGACGACTGTATCGGCGCTACGCCCTCTACCGGAGAGGAGCCAACTCAATTTATAACCGCAGTCAATTCCTTTCACCCGGCTCTAAAATATACCTAAGAAGTTTCCAACAATTCTGTATCCTGTTAAGACATCAAAGTTTCAATTGAAGGCAACGCTTTATGCACTAGTGTGTGTATTACACACCTACAGACTCACATAGTTACTTGCTGTATTCATCTTCGCATTCATCTCATGTCTAAGACTTTGTCGTTTATGTAGTGATGACTCTGATTTTTTCGACAAATCAGAGTCAATATGCCAGTTTTTCGAAAAACATGTTTACCCTGTGTCTGTTGTTAAAGCGGGTCACCAATGCGCCCAACTTATTGATCGACAGTCAGCACTACAAACGTCACTGAAGGATATTTCCAACCGCATTCGGTTCACTCTCACGTTTCACCTTCACAACCACACAGTTAAATCCATTATCTATAAAAAACTTTAAATTACTTCAAAACGGTCCAGAGACTGGCGCTATCTTTTCACATCGTCCACTTATTTAATTCAAATGTGACAAAAACATAGACAGGTTTTTGGTCAATGTGACAAAAACATAGGCAGGTTTTTGGTCTTACATGTAGGTAGCTCGGAAAGTCGCAAAACTCTTTGACAAAAGTTTATCTTTCGAATCGGCACGCTTTTCATTCCACTAATTTACTCTTGTTTTTACTCGTCATCATGTTACCACCAATAGCGTAGCTCCACTTTCTGCATATAAACACACACACAACCCACAATTCCTCCATTCGCTCTGACGAGGGGCTAACGCTCGAAACCTCAGGTTTTTCACTCGTTACGGTGGCCAATTTACAATTTCAAACTAGTTGATATAGCTAAAAAAAAAATCTGCCTCAACTACAACTTAAAATAAGCCAATCAAACTGAAAAACATCTCTTAGGAAAACAAAAGAAAAAAAAATAGACCCAGGTATTCATGAACTTCATTTATTTTCATGACGCGAACTTTAAGCAAATTACAACTTTTTATTTCAATATTTCTGCATTACTTCCCATTCTATTTTAAAAATAACACAAGCTGTCTTGTCCTGAGTTGTCCTAAGTTATCCATGCATTTTTAAGGTGCGTATTGATCAAGACCTGCAGGAAAGAGAAAATCAGACATAGCTACTGATGAAGGTGACTCTTTATCCTTTACACTCTAAAATCAGCTCTACATACATTTTCTATACCCTTCTCTATACATCTCCAAGAACCTTAGAAGGAGAACGTGTGTCAAAATTAGGAGCTACAGGTACCATTGCTTTTTTTCTTTTTTCCACTCACCTTCACCAAGCGTTTGTTCATTCCATCACTGAATTGGTCTTCGTTAATCGCGAGATTTACGACGATAGCGTCGATAGCGTCGATAGCGTCTGCGTGGTTTGTACGGTTTGTAGGGTTTGTACGGTTTGTACGGCTTGTACGGCTTGTACGGTTTGTACGGTTTGTACGGTTTGTAGGGTTTGTACGGTTTTTTCGGTTTGTACGGTTTGTATGGTTTGTACGGTTTGTACGGTTTGTACGGTTTGTACGGTTTGTAAGGTTTATACCGGCGTCTATAGGGTGAGGGGTCAGCTGACTTTTCTATTGTTCCTACGTCATCTTCGTCACTAACTTCGCCTCCATCATCGTCATTG